AGAGAGTCAGGCTTTCTTTCAGACCAGTGTCTTCTGTCTTCCTTTCTATACCTTGAATTCATCCTTTTAGCTGTTTTTTGCCTTTTCCTCATCATCCTTTCAGTCATTTCACCCCTTATGCTCTCCCCACTCCATTCTCATCTTCCATTTCTTGACATTTTGCAGTGCCAAAGTAGTTTGGGCATCAGAGTAAGTTCTTTCTGTGCCACATTACCTGCATTTTACGTTTCTCAATGAATACATGAAAAATGTAGCCTAAACAAGTCTGAACTTTCTAAAAATGGCATTCATTTTTCCATTACAGTGTTTCTATTTTAAAATCAAGAATCCCTAGCCAGGTGTGGTGGCATAGGCCTGTAATACCAGCACTCCTCGAGGCTGAAGCAGGACAGTCACAAGTTTGAGCCCAGCCTGGGCAATTTAGCAACTTTGTAACACCCTGTCTCAAATATTTTTTTAAAAGGACTGAGTATGCAGTTTAGTGAGGAGGCCCTGGGTTCCCTCCCAAGTACCAGGAAACAGCAAGAGAGGAAGAGAAGGTAGGGAATAAAGAGAAAAACCAAGCGGACTGCATCTCCTATCAAGCCTGTGACTTTAACTGCACTCTCTGTGTCTCAGTATATTCTTTTATAACACTTTTGTTCATGTTTTTCATATTCCAAGTGCTTAAATCTAACATCCCTTGCCTCCCCGTTACTAGATTCAAACTAAAATTTATTTGCCAAACTCACACTGTTCTTCTAAACATATCAAAACATGTGCATCCACACTATGTCAAAATTTCTTATTTTAAAAAAGAGCTAGTTTGTAAATTATTTTATGTTTTCTATATAGACCTCTAATTGTTCCCTCTTGACTCAAAAACATGTGTTTTCCTTTTCATGGCTAACTTGCCAGAGCCTTCAACAATTGAACTCTCTTTCCTTTTCTCCTCCATCTCTACCTTGTGCTTCACCTTTTATACTTAGTAGATTTCTGGCCAACAGATTTTTAAATCAGAAACTGTGAAGGGTCTTTTGCTGTACTTAAAATCAAACAAAGAAGCTTGCCACTATTTAATATTCATACATTGACAAAAGCCATCAGATTCACGGATCAGCAGAAAAGACCACTTATGACACATGGCAAAAGCACCAGTGTTTTACACTAGGTCTCCAAGCTCCAGTCCATAGGGTACCACTGTGAGGGGCCAGATGTTACTCGCAGGTGTACCAGGATGAGCTACAGGAAAACAGCCCTGCAATAAAGGAGAGAGACGGACATTTGCTTTGTGAGTGTTTGTTTGTTTGCTTGTTTGAGACAGGGTCTTGCTGTGCAGTTCAGGCTGGCCTTAATCTCCTGTGCAGCCCAGGCTGACCTCAAACTCATGGCAATCTTCCTGCCCAAGCCTCCCAAGTACTGGGATTACAGGTGTGTGCCACCAGACCTGACTAGACATTTACTTTAGAATATAAGCAGATTGTTACCAGGGAGAGAGGAGTTATTCCCCCTGCATATCCTCAGAAGTGAACTGTTCTGTCTTTATATACTATTCGGGAAATAAATCTTCCTCTGACCTTCATGTAAACCCTTTCTCTAGCTTTCAAAGATGTTTGCTGCTTTGTAAACCCTTTTGCCCAGAAGATCCAGAACATGCAAAAATGCGAGCCACTCAGAGAGCGCTGTCTCCCACACAGGTTCTCCGGTGTCTTTTGGGTTCAGAAGTCTCTCATCCAGACTGTACTTACTGCCTGTAACCCCTGCCCATCTCCCGTTTAGCTATTAAATGTGAACATATCACAGGGTAACATCTCATCCTACAATTGTCCCCTCAGATATCTTCTTCTCAAGTTTCAGCTATCACTGCTGCTGGTGGCTATAATTTCCTTCTTACATTGCAAAAGTCCCTTGCTTTATTTCCGCCTGAATGTAGTAAACTTTAAAAATAACAATGACCTGACTTTTAAATTTTTTGTCAGTAGGGCCCTCATTCTGACAGTTTTTTCTTAGATTCAAACCCCAAAAATATGATTTAGTAGGCTCATTCAAATTCAGCAGTCTTTCAGCTGGAATTAGTCTCCTAAGTCATATATGACAGTCACTTCAGAAATCTCTCAAACCTAGAGTCGTATTACAGTCTGTAGAGGGTTAAAGGTTAGTTCAGCTTCTGCCTTCTTTCCCACGCTCCCTCTGGCCACACCCCACTGCTATGTCAAACTACTTGCACTGACCTTAATTCACTGCTCATTTATTCAAACACTTTCTGCACACCTAATATGTCAGGCATTGTGCTAGGAACTGAGGCCATAAATCCGAAAAAGTTATTGTCTGTCTTAAGAATGAAATAAATATGTAAATAAATGTCCAGAGTGTGATTAGTACGGTAGGGATACAAAGTGCATACTCTTTCCCCGAGGCATTAACCTGACAATATAATGTATGACGCTCTGGGAAAGTCTTGAAGGATGAGTTGGAATTTGTTAAATGCCTGTGAAAGTAGATTTTTGGCAAAGTACAAATAGGTGCAAAGGCATGAAGATATGAAATTGAATCCCTCCTTGAAAAGCTGTAAATATTTCAGAATAAGCAGACTGTACGAATAGAGGTAGAAGGGTAAAAGGATACAAGGATGGGAAAGGGGGATTAGATAATAAAGACCTTTCATGTACTGAAGTAGTGTGGACTTTTTCCTTGAATAGTCTGATCTCGTTTACCTTTTAAAAATCATAATAATTTGTTCGGGCAAGAATTATAGATATTAAAACTAGTAGATGAAAATTTGAAGAACAGAAGATACATAGTTTCTAAATGTCACTCCACATGACACTTGTTAATCACACTGGGGCACACAGTAACTTAACAGTGGAAAAATCCTGCAGATCTCATCCTGACCAGTTAATCAAAGTTGACATCATAGTGAGAGGACAAATCAACATCCTGAACCTCCCGATATGCATTGAGAAACATCATCAATTTCTTCCAAAATGCATAACCAAATTCCGAGACTGAGGCAAGAAGACTCCAAGTACAAGCCTACTTTGGGCAAAACCCTGTCTCAAAATTAAAAGGAAAAAATGTTTGTGAAGTCCTGGGGATATAGTTGATTGCAGAGGCTCTGGGTTTGATTCCTTGTAGCAATAAACAAACAGCAGTAAACTCAGGCTAAAAAGCATTTTACAAGATCAGTGCTTTGCACTCTTCAGAACTGTGAAAAACAAAGGAAAGAAATAAAGATTAACGGAGACTAAATACACATGAACTTTGTTTGTAATACATGACCCTGGGTTTTTTTTTTCCAGTAAAGGATGTTATTGGGACAATTGGAAAAATATAAATAAGATCTGTAAATTACAAAATAGTATTTTGCCAATACTCAATTTCATGACTTATACTATGGTTATATTAAAACTTTTTCCTTTTTAAAGGAAGTAAGTACAATGAAGTACTTCTTGGTCAAGAAACACACAACTTACTGTCAAAAGATTCTTAGAAATCATATCTAGAGCATAGATGTTCATAGGAACATTACAATACCCAAAAAGATAGAAGATTTTAGCCAAGTGTCCGCTGAGGGTTGAATGAGTGAACAAAATATAGCGTAGCCATACAAAAGAATATGATTCCACCTTGAAGAAAAGGACATCTGTCACATGCTACAATACAGAGAAACCCTGAAGACATCTGTGTTCACTGAAATGAGTCAGTCATAAAGGGAGAAATATTATATGAATCTACTTATACGAGATACCTGGAATGTAGTAGTCAAATATAGAGAAACTGAAAAGAAATGGTGCCAGAAGTCATCCCTGACTCTTTACACACCTTTTCCCCTTAACCTTTACCTCTTCCCTCTTCCAGGACAAATTAGTATTTCTCCCTTCCCAGATCTGATGATAGCATCTTTTGCCTTTATGTCGCAATGTGTCAAAATAAATGACTTACCTATTTCTTCCGCATAATGAGCTACTTGAGAGCGGATACTGTGGTCATTTTTATGACTTCATGACACTTTTCATAGAGAAGGAGATGTTAATGGGTGTGCAAGAAATGTCTGAATGAAATGTTAGGCCTACACTACTTTTGTTTATATCATGTATAGTAATGCAAGATCAGTAAAATTCCATAATTGGGAATACCTGTTTGGAAACTTTCGATGTCTTCTTATTTAAAGAACAAAGCCCAATGGGCTGGGGATTTAGCTCAGTGGCTCCACCACCTGCCTCACAAGCTCAAGGACCAGAGTTCAATCAATCCCCAATACCAGGAAAAAAAAAAAAGAGAACAAAGCCCAAAATCACCAATAAGGACTTGAGGAATTTCACATTATGCTCTCAGATACCTGCCTTACTTTAACACTTTGCTTTTGCAAGGCTTTAATGAAAGGGGAAGTTTACTGAATAAGATCTATGCTCATTATCTTTGTGTTTTACTTTTGATCCTTTGTTTTCTGTTATTACGTTCCATCCGAAAGGGAAAAAATCTTGGTGAAAACTCAGCCATATTCATACTTAAGTAAGAAGTTCTATTTCAGGGCAAAACATGAGTAATAAAGTTTAGGATTGCCTAAACTTTGGCACAGTGTTTTGCCTAAACTACAGCACAATATCTGGCTCATAATAAAAGTTCAGTAAACATTTAAACTAAATTAACTTCATTTAAATGTTAAGGCTAGGCAAAATGACACAAGGCTGGGCATGGTGGCACACCTCTGTAGTCCCAGCACTTGAGAGGCTGAGTCAGGAGTATTGCTGCAAGTTCAAAGCCAGCCTGGACTACATACATAGCAAGACCTTATCTCAAAAAACAAAAAGAAAGAAAAATTTTAGTTTAAGACAAAGCTGTTCACTGTTTTAAGCTTTTGAAAACTTGCATATTTTTGCTTCACAGTAATTTGACTTAACATCTGAACTTTTTTTTTGCTATTACTATTTGTAGTTTTATTGCTTTAAAACACAAAGTCAAAACAAATTGGAGACTACTATATTATATATTTTTTTTAACTTTTTATACTCTCTTTCTAGGTTATATGTAAAGTCAGATGTGCCACTGAACTTGACAAACACAAGTAAGTTTCACGAGTACCTAAATTTCTACCTAAAATATCTAAAGAATTAACTCATTAATATTAAAGCAGTACCTAAAAAAATATGTATTTTTAACAGTAGACTGCTCATGGTGAAAAGAGAGGGGCTGTTTAGGACATCTTGGCAGTTTGATAGACAAGCAAGTTGCTAGATTTGTTCAAAGGAAGTAAATGGGTAACCCGTAGCTCTCTCTCTTCAGCCATGCCAACACTCTTTTCTTCTTTGCTACTGCCCCACCTCCATGTCAGATCTGACTCCTGAGGTCCACACATGTTAAGGTTAGATCCTTATGTTTGGGATGAGCATTTATCCGGTAGCTCTATGAGCTAAGTAAAATTTCAGTACTGATAATCTCACCAGTGTGCACGCTAAACTGTGGAGCCTAGAGATTTGGGTTTTAGACCGAGCTCTCCCACTAACCTGCTGACTGTTCTAACTCATTTATTTACCTTTCCTGTGGTTTGGCTTCCTAAACTACTCTAATTCCCTGGATGTACAGTTTCAAGGGCTTTTTGGATTTCAAACAATATAATTATTGTTTTTAATATTTAGTCTGAGAATATTAAAATCTAATCTTTTCAAACTAAAACCTTTATATTTTGTATGTATGCTTGCAAAGCTTGTTTCTTGCAGACTGCATGCTACTTTCAATTTATCTTCTATAAACTATTTCTAAAGGCCGGTGATTTATGGTTCTCACTAGTGAAAGTAATTCAAAATAGAAGATTTGGGGTTGCAAAATAAATTTCTGGACCATATGTGCTTGATTTGGGGATGTAAACAGCTTCCATGCAGAAAGCTGTTACTGATAATTGATATGGATAACAACACTTTGTCTGAATCTTTGTGGTCAGGTGGCCTAATTTATCTTACAGGGACAGGATTAAGTGAGTTGTTTCGTATGCTTAGTAAATATGCATCTTTATAAGATGATGAAGTATTGATGAGTTCTTCAAACTGTATATCCTGTCCTTATGATCTTCCTTAGTCAAGTCTTTTAAAATTTTATTTATTTATTTATGTATTTAGGTATCGGGAATGGAGCTCAGGACCTTGCACTTGCAAGGCAAGTGGCAGAAGCACTGAGCTAAATCCCTGGCCCCCTTAGTCAAAGTTTGAAAGCAACATTTACCACAAAAATTAGTTTATGGGATTGAATACTGTTTAAAACAATTTCCTTTATCTCTTTTATTTATTAATTTATCATTTTTGGTACCGGGAATCAAACTTGAGTCCTTGCACCTGTGAGGCAGGCGGTGGAACTACTGAGCTAAATCCCAGCCCATTCCTTATCTCTTAAAATTACTATTAGATGATAAATTGAAATTTAGATAGAACATGTTAATTTTCTAGGCAAAATTTTAAAAGTCTGGTAATTATCAGAATGGATAGGTCAATGAAAATATGCTTAATAGTTATAAAAATGAAAACTCTAGGACTGCTTGAAAAAGCACTAAGTATAGTCCCATATTATCTTCCTGGGAGACAAAAATTAATTCAAATCTACAAGAGATCATTCTGAATTAATGTTTCAAAGTCTATACCATTTTTAAATGCATTTGATACTAATTTCATAACAGCAAAAATATTCCAAATAACTAAAACATTATTAAATTTGTATTTAATGCAATTATAAATATTTTAAACTGAAGAAATTCTTCTACCTAAAATAATACATTAATTTTTAATTAGTTTTAGAACATCTAACAAACTCCTTTTTTCTTTCAGAATTCTACTGCATTTGGGCTTTATACTGGCGAGCCTTCTCTTTTTAGTGGTGAACTTGACTTGTGCAATGCTAGTCCACGGAGATGTTCCAGAAAATCAGTTGAAATGGACTGTGTTTATTCGAGCATTAATTAATGACAGCTTGTTTATTCTTTGTGCCATCTCTTTAGTTAGTTACATTTGCAAAATTACAAAAATGTCATCAGCAAATGTCTACCTCGAATCAAAGGTAAGTCTATTTCTTAATTTTGCACTTGAAAATCTAATTTCAAATTCTTATCCTGTGCATCATATTTTAATGGAAAGTTTATGTTTCCTTTTTTTTTTTTTTTTTTTTTTTTTTGTCTTTTTGCGACAGGGTGTTTGGGCTGGCCTCAAACTCACAAGATATCCCAGGCTGACCTCGAACTCCAGAGTGCTCAGCCTCCTGAGTGCTGGGATTACAGGCGTGCACCAGCACACATGGCTTATGTTGCCTTTTAAAAAAGTATTCTGATGGACAGTTACATTTCTGATCATGAAAGAATAGCCACTAGCAATGAAGGATTTTAAAAATTTTACCCTTAGTAAATAATGGTTTAAAAAGGAAGCTTTACTACACGTTTTCTGACTCTACATAAGAGGCTAGTTAAATGAAATACACCAGAATGTATATGAGTAAGCCAAAAATAGTCTAATATACAAAACTACACTAACAATTTAAAATTTGGTTCAGTAAGAATGGCAGTATCGCTACTAAACAAATTTACCAGGTTATGTCTACATGCCCTTGGGTTAGCAGTGTAAGGAAATCATACCGGTAAAGTGGTGTTATCTGAAATGTTGCACCCCTATGAGATGAAGTACATGTTGTGGCTGAAGCAGCTAGTCCTGCTTTGCTCCTTCCTTCCCTTACATTTTGGAGAACAGCCGAGTGTAAACCACCGGTTAATGAAGAACAGGGTTAATGACTTCCTCTGCCAGCTGGAAAAGTGTCCGCGCGATGAATCCGTCACCACAGTGTGCTGTGCTATGGGGCAGAGGGGTGCAGAAGTGTGGGTGTCGGGGGGTGGGTGTAAACACACACGCACTTTTTCCTGTCACTTGCCTGGAATAGCCTTCTTGAATCCGATATTGCTGCCTGTTCACTGAAGACAAACAAGATAGTATCTTAAACAGAACAGCTCTCTGAAATATTTTGGGGCTTCAGTATTGTCATTATCCTTAACATAGTCCTAGTAGAGTGAGGGACTATAATTGAATAGATGATTATCAACCTGTCCTTTAAATTTAGGTAGAAGTTTTAATTTTACTTTTTAAACATATTTCAGGGAAATGCTGAATATGTATCAAGAGAGAGAAAACAGAGGGAAAGAGAGTAAGATTTTCAATCTATTAGTCATACGTGCAAATTTATTTCATTCGATTTCTATTCTAAAGATTTCTTAAAATTTAAACATTTTAGTAAGATTAATAATGTCATTGTTACTGTCCATAACCTTTTGTAGGCAGCAATGTAGAAAATAATATCAATATATAATTCATGTTTCTTGCTTGTCTGATGATAAAACATAAATAGATGTGATTGAATTTAAAGTGCTTTTTCAGATACCTGGTAACTTTCTATATTTGGTTTTACTTTGGAATAGATAATACTCTGAAAATAGTAAAGCTGCCAATTTGAAAAGAAAAAAATCTGATAAATCCTCCAGAATTATTTCAAATTATGTCATCTCATGTTCATGTTCTCCTTATAAAATCATTAGGCTTGCAGCCAGGGGTTTGGCTCAGTGGTTCCACTGCCTGCCTTGTAAGTGCAAGGGCCTGAGTTGGATCCCCAGTACCAAAAATAAAAAAAAAATCACTAGGCTTGTTTTTATTTTTATTTTTTTACTTCTAGAACAATACATAGTAATAGCCATTTCTTTTATTCAGTCATCAAATGTTTGTTGAGCATCTACCTCTTTCACTTTCTTTTTCTTTCTTGTTTTTTTTTTTTTTCTCTTGGTACCAAGGATCGTACTCCAGACCTTGCGAGGCAGGTGGCAGAACCACTGAGCTACGTCCCCAACCCTACCTCTTCCACTGTCAAATTGACCTGTTGGGCTGGGGATGTAGCTCAGTGGTGCCGCTGCCTGCCTCAAACTGACCTGTTTTTTGCTGTCCCTAAGAACATTTCCTTAAGCTCATGTTTTGTTTCACTTTTCATTCTTCCTTCCATCCTTTACATATTATGTGATAATGAGATCTTCCACAATTTACCTCAACCAAATCTTACTACTTTCTTTCACAGCGACACACAGGATGCCTTCCTGTGCCTCTCACCAGAAATGCCCTTCCTCTCTCAGTGCTGTTCGTTCATGTCTTACCAACTTTCAGGACCTAACTAATGTTTTCCCTTTTATGAACTTAATATTATCCCTTTTCCCCATCCCCTAAGTAGTTTTAGAAGTAAATCCCTATCTGACTGTCCTAAAATTTGATTTGATTCCTTTAGGGAACTTCTCAGTTTATACAAGATGGCATTTGTATTTATATGTCTAATTTTTGACTGAAGTCTGAGCTTTTAGAAGGCAGAGCTATTTATTATTCACATTTCCCTTGGTGCCTTATTTGAGTTATTTGAATGTGACTTACAAATTTTTATTTTTATCCAATTTTTCTTAACTGCCTTTTGGACATTTCCACAAGCTTAAGTACCATTTTCTTACCACTTGCAATTTGTACCTCTATCTCTAATTTTGTCATTATTGTCATTTGTAATTATTATCATTGACTCAGATTCAATTTTGGAGCATTCTAATATTTCTTTATTCTTTCTTTTGTGCAACTAATTTCTGTCAACTTTTTATTTAAAAAATATCCTCTGAGTTTTTCTCCATATGCATGGCTTGATAGGGAAAGGAACATATTGAGTGTAACTATTAATATCTATTATGCATCAGGAAGTTGCTTTCTTCACATTATCTCTAAACAATTATATGTGTTGACCTGTGACACTGTGATATAATGAGACATATATATTTGGTTCCTGCTCCTGTTTCCTGGTACATAGTTCCTTAAAAGCCATAGAACCTTTTCAGAAATTAAAATATCTTTTGCAAGATGGCAGCTTCCCTAGATAGCTTCCCGATGGACGTTGGTCACAGAAAGACCTAAGTATGATTAGTGAGTTAAATGCTCAGCCCTAACTCATTATCAGCTTGCAAAGAGAACTGGTTTGTTTTGTTCCATAGTTTTAGAGGTTCTGGCCCATAACTGTTTGCCCTGTTGTTTAGGGCCTGTTTTGAGGCAACACATCATTTTAGGAATGTGTGGTAGAGCAAAACCCAATCAGGTCATGCCCAAGGAAGCAAAAAATTAAATTAAAAAATAGAAAAATAAAGGGCAAGAGTCCCATATTCTCCTCTGGGAACATTTTCCCAGTGACCTAAGGTCCTCTCACAGGGCTTATCTCCCAAGATTTTGTCACCTATCAGTAAAGCCAGCCTGGGGATCTAGCCTTTGATATATGGACCTATAGCGGATTTAAGACTATGTATAGCATGTGGCTATGTAATAAAGCCTCAATAAAAAACCGCAAAGGATAGATCTTGGGGACCCCCCAGACTGCTGAACTATGGAGGTTCTTGGAGTTGGCCTAGAAGGCATGGGGCTCAGTAGCCCCCTCCCCATGCCTGCCCTATACGTTTCTTCCATTTGGGTCTCCATCTGCATCCTTGGTAAATATCCCTTAAAATAAGCTGGTGAATGTATTTCCCCGAGTTGTGTGAGCTGCTCTTGAAATTAATCTAACCCAAGGAGAGGGACACAGAACCCCAGATCTATACCAGTTGCTTGTACATGACAACCTATTACTTGAGATTGCTCTGAAGAGGGGGGTGGCTTGTGGGACTAACCTTTCAACCTATGGGATCTCATGCTATCTCCAAGCAGATAATGTCAGAACTGATATCAATGATAGGACATTCATGTGTGTCCTCTGGAGAATTGCATGTTGTTGGGGATTAATCCAGCACATTTTGGTGTAGTAAGACTGCTTTTTGCTTCAGATGGTTTTATACTTATTAAAAATGAGAGAGAAGGGGGGACAGGCTGTCCTTAATTACTCGAATAAGGTTCTCACCTTTTCTGATTACTGTTTTATCACCCTATTTTGTTACTTTCATAGCCAAATTTGTTGTTCATTTGTTTGCACAAAATTTTCTAGTTTTTTTTTCTCCTAAAGTACAAATTCTGAAAGTAGTTCTCCTGTCTCTAGTTCATTTTTCCAACTTTTTAATTTAAAATATTGCCAAGGACAACAAAAAAGGGGGAAAAGTCATATAATTTTACTTAAAGTGACTTTTACAACTCTTTCCTCTTTTTTGTTGTCCTTGTCATGTTTTAGAATATAGCATTTGGGGGGGTACCTGGGATCGAGAACTCAGGACCTCACTCTTGCCAGGCAGATGCAGTGCCATTGAGCTAAATCCCCAGCCATTAGAATATAAGCATATTTATCTCAAGAACTGAAGTGGGTAATACACCCTGTACAATAAAAAGTAGTGGTGATGTAAACTCTAGGGTCTTAATGCCTCTGTTTAAATCAGGATTCTACCATTTACTGTGACTTCAACCTCCTGTCCACACGTAAACTAGAGATAAAATAGTAACAATTTCCATAGCAGTGTTGCCAGGAGACAGTGATAAATGATGGGAAGTCATGTATAGTACTGCAATAGTACAAATGTTAGCTGCTATTATTTTATCATCGGATTTTGACACAGTTTATAGACTAGAATTATTCTCAGAAGGTTTGAACAAATCCTTCCACTTGGCAGAAGTTTGTTTTTTGGTAATTTTTTTATTCCTTTTGTTTTTCCTTGTTATTTGCCTATCCATTAACTGGTTTTATTTCCACCAGACCTGGTGTTTTATAGTTCAATAGACACTTAATCATATCATTATTATTAAATTTTTTTCTGTGTGTAATATAAGAGAATATGATTTAAGGCCGGGGATTTAGCTCAGCGGTTCGGTGGCCTGCCTTGCAAGCGCAAGGACCCGAGTTCAATCCCCAGTACCAAAAAAATAAATAAATAAAAATAAAATTTAGACAGCAATAATGTCACCACTGACAATACCTATACAGTATTTGGAACTCGGTATAAATATAACTTTATACCCTGATTTCCCCTTATACTAGTGAATAATTTTTTCATGATAATAACAAAGGTTGCATTAGCACTTCATCATAGGGAAAAGTTCAACTCTTATCTACTGATAGTCCTGTGTTTTTAAGCATTGGTGATGTTAATTTTCTTCCAAGTTAGTTTTGTTTTGCTTGCTTGCTTTCTTGCTTTCTTTCTTTCTTTCTTTCTTTCTTTCTTTATTTTTTGGTTTTTTGAGACAGGGTCTCACTAAGTAGTTGAGACTGACCTGGAACTCACTGCGTAGCCCAGGTTGGTCTTGAGCTCACTGCGATCCTCCTGCCTCAGCCTCCCGAGTGCTGGGATTACAGATGTGCACCACCACACCCAGTTTGTTTTGCTTTTTAAAAACAAAGTGAGGGATTTCAATAATTACATCTGGAACTATCTACCTCAGTCAGTTTATAGAGCACTTAAGTATCCTCTATGTTATCTTTTCCATTACTCATTTTTTCAATTTGTAATTTTTAAGTAACTGGAACAGTAGTATGATTAGATTCTCTTTTTTAAATTTAGAACTTTTAATTGTTTTTTAAACATAGTTATTGCCAATTTGAATGGTTTCTTTCTGTTATTTTTTTCCTTTCTTAAATATTTAATGTTGTTATGTTGTTCCACATTTTTGTGTTTATATAGATACTTAATTCATTCTTTTGTAAACTGATATAGGTATTCAAAGCAATATGTTCTCTCAAGTACTGTTTGGCAGCTTTCCACAATCTTAAAATGTTATAGCAACATCTCTTATTTAACAAAAACAAAGAAAATTTATGTTTGGATTTCAGCCATGTCTCAAATATTGAATATATATACATCAGTGAGAACTTAATATTACCTCTATAGGTTTTGCTTCAGCTCCTCTTGGAAGAAAGTATAAAATTCAGATATTTATCTTCTCTGGGCTCCCTTACTTCTCTAGGAAGTTAAGTCACTTTTCACCCTCTGCTTGCTTGTCTCTGAACCTGAATCTGGTCATCTGAAGTAGACTTTCTGTACTCTAGGTTCTTGCCAGAGAAAACAAACTCTCACAACTTAATAAATTCACAACATAATTGTCAGACTTGACCCAAAAGATGTGAAGTCTGTCCTTTTGTCTATTCTACATTTTATGCTCAGCCCTGTCCACATCATTGCAAATTTTTTGTAGAAAGACTACATCATACTCTGGGTAGAGGTTTTTTTTTGTTTGGTTTGGTTTTGGTTTTGGTTTTTTGGTCCTGGGGTTCGAATTCAGGACCTTGTGCTTGCAAGGCAGGCAGCGGCACCACTGAGCTAAATCCCCAGCTTATAGAATTGTCTTCTGCAACCTACATTTTATATCATGCTTTGACCTATATCAAGGTATGTGTAGGAAATGTAGGAAATGTCTTATTCTAAAATCAATAATCTGTGATGTTGAAGTTATTGTCTACACGGTATCCCCAGAAAACATCTTTTTCTCAGACTCAGTTCCAGGAAAAATAGTGCTGATTGAATCCCTTTTTCCCTCTTGCTACTGTATTGTTCAGAGGCAAAAACACGCTTCACTTCTGTCATTGGTAAATGACCTTATGATATCCATTTTTCATTCTGACACGATCTTAGCTTCCACCTTTCTTACCCACTCCCATCCACACACCCACATGGTGTGCGTTTATATATTTGGGAGGGGGGTGTGTTTCTTTCTGTGCTTATCTAACTACTTCAAATTCTCATTTGCAATGAGAATGGTATAAACTAAAAATTGGATTGGAGAGCCAGGCGTGGTGGTGCACACCTGTAATCCCAGCACTCAGGAGGCTGAGGCAGCAGGATCACTATGAGTTCGAGACCAGCCTGGGCTACACAGTGAGTTCCAGGTCAGTCTCATTACATAGTGAGACCCTGTCTCAAAAAAAATTGGATTGGATATATTTTAAATATGTTTATTTCTTTTGGGGTATTTTGATTTTTTTTTCTTTTTATTGAGTTTATTGGTACAATTTAGGTATACAGTACAGTTACATTCATTATTGGGATCCTGTACCTTTACATGACCGGTCTTGGTTCTCATTTTGTCCCCTTGTCCCTGCCCTCCCTTCACCCCCTCCTCCCCTCCCCATTGACAAACACTTTATTTCCATTTTTTCGTTTTCTCATATTTTTTTCTTTTCCCTTATTCCCTTTCCCCTACCTTCCCACTTTCCCTACACCTTTAGCCCTTTTCTTCCTATTTCACATTGTTAACCATCTCATTAGGATCTTGTGTACTATTATAGTTCTTCACACCAGAGAAACTATTTGGTATTTATATGTGTGTGACTTATTTATTTCACTTAGTAGTATATCCTCAAAATGTATCCATTTTCTTATGAATGAATCTAATTTCCCATTCTTTATGGCTGAGTAGTATTCCATTTTATAGAAAAACCACATCTTTATCCAGTTTCCAACTGATGGGCAAATGGGCTGTTTCCAAGTTTTAGCTATTACAAACTGTGCTGCTATAAACATAGGTGTGCATATATCACTGTGATATGATTCTTTTAATTCTTTTGGAAAGATACCCAGCAGAGGGATGGCTGGGTCAAATGGAGCCTGTAGTCCCAGCTCTTTGAGGTATCTCCATATTGATTTCCATAGTGGTTGCACCAGTCTGCACTCCCACCAACAATGGAGATGGGTTCCTTTCTCCCCACAACCCTACCAACATTTGTTATTGTTTGATCTCTTGATAGCAGCCATTCTTTGTGGGGTGAGGTGGAATCTCAGTGTTGTTTTCATCTGCATCTCTCAAATGACCAGTGATGTGGAACATTTTTTCATATATTTACTTGCTGCTTTTACTTCTTGTGTTTTGATTTTTGAAATCAATATGCAAAGATTTTAGTGACAAACAGCTTATCATGGGATTAAAAGATGGAAACCTGAAGTCGGAGAGAAATGAATATAAATACCAGCTCTGCTGCTTATTTCTTGTGTGATCTTAGATAAGTGATAGCATCTTTAATGTTCCTTTTCCTGATCTGTATAATAGAGACAATGATAATGTTGATCTCCACTTTAAGGATAAGAGAAGTATCAATTTTATGAGTTGTTATGAGGATTGAATGAAAATGCATGTAAATTACTTAATCTAGCACTTAGGAAGTATTTATGAGTCTTCGCTATTATGGTACTAAGGGATGGTAACCTAGCTTCAAAAAATTCTTGAATACCTGAAAATGTTGGCAAAATTTACCTAGAAAGGGGCCCGTTACATTTAGGTTCTCAAAAGGAATAGTGAACCCCAAAAAGAATCAGAGTCAGGGTCGGGAATTTAGCTCATTGGTTCCACTGCCTGCCTCGCAAGCTCAAGGACCTGAGATCCCCGGTACCAAAAAAAAACACACACACAAAAAAGAATCAGAATCACTGAAGAACAAATTTTTCTCTGAACTAGTTTAATTTTACATGACAATACCTTATTAATACACTATTCCTCCCTGATTTTTATAAAGATTAATTCTCTTGATTACTTCTCATTCGATATTTAACTTGTTTTTCTTGGGGACTTTTGGTATAAGTAAGGTTGAAATTGAGAAATGGCCTGCCTCTCTTCTGCATTGTGTCTCTGTCTCTCCCAGGGAACAGGGGTCTTTTCTCAGAAGGTGAAGCTGCAGGAGCCTTCACAGGACGTGTGTGCCATCTTTGCACAGGGATCCTGCTAGTCTTCTCTGTGCCGTGCCCGTTTAAACACATGTGCTGCCGAAGCACTCGCTGAAGTAGCTGCTTCGTTATGTGTATTCTCATTCTGAAGTCTGCCATCCCGTTCATGACAGCCCCAGTCTGTGCTTTCACTGTCAGGATACACCTAATGCTATGTTTCATTTTTTGTCTCTTGATACCATGCCAAGTGTGTCTTATTAACTTGGGCAAAATATTATGGAGTTTGTTTTGCAATTGCTAGTGAGCACTCCCATTTCTAGGGTAGCTCAAACGGATTACATTTATTGACATGATTGTTAGTGTTGATTTTTTTCTCTCATTAAGGCTTTTATTGCCACTTGCCTTCATCTGTATGGTTTCTGTACATTTGAATCTATTTACTTTATCAGAATTATAACTTTCAACATTAAAACATGCTTTTTCAGAAAAAAAGAATATGGAAAACATGCCATTTTTAAAGGACAAAATAACTCAAACACAAAAAGGTTCAAATCGATGACAGATGTTTAGTCCCCGTGATAGCCACATTGAGATTCTTTGTATTAAAAACCACTCAAAGACTAGATAAGAATAAAAGTTAAGCTTTTAGCCTTTAATATCTGCCAGGAAGATACACAATTTTGTATTTATATGAGTGTAAAAGGAAGCACTGTCTGACTGTCAAGATTAGCTTGTCTCCTAGCCCAGTCTACCATTTGCAAGTAATGCCCTTTCTGTGCCCCTCTTGAGCGCCTAACAGTTGTAATTATAGTGAGCCCAGGCTTTCGTATCTGGTGTTCTTTATCTATGAATTCAACCAAGCACAGGCCAAAGTTATTCAGAAAAAAAAATTGTCTGTGTACTGAAAATATACAGACTTTTATCACTATTCCCTAAATAATATAGTATAAATTCTATTTACATAGCATTTACATTATATTAGGTATTATAAATAATCTAGAACTAGTTTAAGGTATATTGGAAGATGTGTAAGGGTTAGATGTAATTACAGTGTCTTTGTTTGTTTGTTTGTTTGTTACCAGGGATCAAACTCAGGTCCTTGCATTTGCAAGGCAGGCAGCAGAACCACTGAGCTAAATCTCCAGCCCTACAATGCCATTTTTTTATGTAATGGACTTGAGAGTCCCTGGGTTTGAAGATACAGGGGTCCTGCTACTGATCCCTTGTGGATATGGAGGAAATAGACACAAATTTGTGAATATGTAAACCTTCCTTCTGTGCATTCACTCCATTCCTGATCTTTGCTGTTTAATATCCTGGGGTGGGAGGCAGCATCAGTACCTTTCAGAGAAACAGTAACATTCAACTAAGTATAACTGGAACTAGCCAACAAATCCTGTAGGACTAAAGCAGTGATATAGGGTAACTTGAGCCATAACCAAAGACTAGACACTACTATCTTAGTGTCTCTTCCGCCCCCTTGAAATAGAATTAACTAGAATTAGGAGATGATGGAAAAATACAGGTTGCATTATTTTCTAGAATAGGTATGGTTGTCAGCTTTCCAGTATTCTGTTATAATTTCTCTCTTGCAATACTAGAATTTACTTTATCCACCTGAAGCTGTAGAATTTCTTTAGTTTGCTGCTTCAGGTAATCTAGCTGTTATACTCCCAGGGTTGTTGGATGTTCTCTTGCTAAGCTGATCTACCATACATTTGTCTCATTTGAAAAATTTTTTATACTTGGATTTATATATTTTATCTACTAAAATCATGTTTCCCTTGTATTTCTGGCTCTTTTAGTACACTATTTCACATTTTCAGAATTGTTTTATCTTTCCATGGCCAGAAGGTCTACGCCAGGATCATAGGAACCAAAGGTCTAATTTCATTGTATTTTCACAGCATCAAACTGTTTCTGAAACTTTCCGGGTCTTATAATTATCAAAACATATTTTAAATGTATTCGTTGAGAATATGTTGTGTTCTTTTTAATGTTTACTTGGGCAATTTACATTTCAAAATGGAAAATAGTACTTGTAAGGTGATTTAAGAGAATATGTGGAGGATTCTGTTTCTGATGACAGCTGAGATTGCTCCTGGGGGATCCGCCTTCCACAGAGAGTGATGATAAGCTCTGGACAAAACATAAAAAGCACTGAAGGCACTGGAGAGCAACACATAGAAGAGAAAAGGACACTGAGTGAGTTTCCTATTTTTTTAGCTTCTTGCCCAAGGGAACAGCCCATCTACCAGGGAGGCCAAAAGTAAAGAGAACCCCACTGTCTTATTGACTTGAAAAATCAGAAGATAATATTCTAGTAGTTTAACTATGAGAACCTCAGGAAGAAGACAGCCGAATAAAGGAAGCCCCATATTCTGATTATAATTTCTACCAAAATTTTCTCTGATACCTCAATGACACGTGGATAAGACAGGCTCCAAGCAGCACAAATAAAGGTAAAGGCATTGAACTGAGGCTTCAGCTACTATTTATGCATGAGAGGCAGAGTTTGGAATCTTAAATCCAGCCAAGATTGTTTGCTAAAACAAACAGAAATCAATACATTTCAGAGGACAGTAACAGAATCCAGACTCTAAAATACTTTAAACAGGACACAATCCAAATCAACCAGATAAAAGAATAGAGAAGATATAATTCATCCAGAGTAAAAACAAAATGTCAAAAGACAATTAATAGTGACAACTCACAGCCCCCCCAGTGATTTTGGATCAGGCAGGGATTTTATATTATGCTCAAGAAATGGAAGATACCCTTGGATGAGTAAATAAATAGAAGTCTCAAGAGAAATAAAAACCATGAGAAAAAAACCTCAGGGGCTGAGTTGTACCATGTTTATCTAGTATGCACAAGGTACTGGGTCCAATCCCTAGTACCTCAAATAAAGAAACTCCTGGAACTAAAGCTACTGTATTTACATAAATAACTCACTAGTTGTACTTAACATCAGATTAGTGAGGAAAGAGCCAGTGAATTTAAAGATAAGCCAATAGAAATTATCTAATCTGAACAACAGAAGAGAAGAGTGAAAGATCCTAACAAATGAACAGAACCTCAGCATCTAATTGTGTATAATTACAATTCCTAAAGGAATGTGGAAGAAGATAAAGCTAGAAAAAATATTTGAAGAAATAATGGCCTAAAATTTTTCCAATGTTTTGAAAGATAATTTTCAATTTCAAGAAGTTCAGCAGTTCTAATCAGTATAAATATAAAGAAAACTTACTGTAAGTTCATCATAGTCAAATTGCTTTACACTGAAAATAAAAATATTTTTAAAAGCTATCTGAAAAAAAAAAATGAGTTACAGACTTACATCGGGGAACAGTGATTCAAATACCTGATTTCTCATCAGGAATAATGCAGCCAGAAGACTATGGAAACATCTTTAAATGTCAACTCTGAAATTCTTGTCAAGGGACAATCTTCTTAAGAACAATAGAGAAATAACATTTTCAGATAAAAGGAAACTAAGGTCATTATGAGCATGCCTGAATTACAAAAAATGCTAAGAAAATTGTATAGACTGAAGAAAAATAGCTTGAATTCCATCTCTTCAGGAAGGAAGAACATAAGAAATAGTAAATGTGTGGGTAAATATAATTTCTTTAAAACATATATGACTATGAAAAACAAAATTATAACAATTCCATGAGATTTATATAGAGATTTAATATATAATTATTTTATATACAACAACTATGGCATACGGACAAGAGGTAAGATTATAGAAAGTTAAGGATATGTTACAATCTCTAGAGCAATGGTCCTCAAACTTTTTGTTCCTGAGATCTCATTACATTTGTAAAAATTATTAAGGATCTTAAAGAGGTTTATCTATCTGTTGATACAAAATTATAAAATATTTATTTAAAAATATTGTAAACCATTACATATTAATATAAGTAACTATGAAAAAAATAAGTGTGCTTTCTAAAACCAAGCAAAAAATGGTGAGATTGTCATTGTTTTCCATTTTGCAAGTCTCCTTGATGAATGTCTGACTTATTAGAAGACAGCTGGGTTTTCATGCCTGCTTCTGCATTCTGCCTGTTGTGATATGTTGTTTAGGTTAAAGTATACAAAGAAAGTCCATCTTCACAGATACATGTAGTTGGAAAGTGGAGAATTTTAATAGACTTTGCAGGTAATTATGGGTATCACCAAAATTCAGAAGTGGAGGTTTCTAAAACGCTAGGGCCCGTATGGAATCTAAAACTATATTAACAAACAATTTGTACTCTCCATTGCTCTTACCTTGCCCTTTGATTAGTTTTGTGATATCATGCATTGTTCATTTGGAAAGGAGAGGTTACAGGTCTGTAAAATGTATATTTCATTTGATAACATTCAAAAATTCACGTGTTAATATCACACTATCATCAGAAAAGTCAATCAGGGAAAGCTGTCAATCATGGATACAAATGTGTAGAAGTTTCCCAAAATTTTAGCTTCTACCTAAGCTAAGAAAGCTTAGCTTCTACTGCCAGATGTTTTCTCTAAAGTAATAGGCTCATTTTGTTCATTTGGGGGAAAAATATGTTCAGTTGTCACATTTGTCTGCCATGGTTGTGTGTCAAGTAAAAAGTAGTGTTCATTTTTTTAAAAAAAGTGGCTAGAAGAATTCCTTTAGAGGCATATCTCATCTCATCACACAGAATATTAAATAGACAAGTATCTTTACATGAAACACTTTGTTTTTCATCAAGAGTACGTGCATGTTATATACAGTTCAGTGAACTTCTTTGATTTATGCTAGGGCCCAGTGGTCTGACCTAACACTGTTTTTGTGCCATTTGTGAATACATCAACACTACCCATTTCCACACATTTTTTTGTCCCATGCTGAAACTCTGCCCATTAAACAATAACTCCCTCCATTCTTAAATATGAAACAATATATAATTTTAATTATAGAGGAAAATATTAAATTCTAAAATGAGTTTTATATCAGACTTATTAAGTTTTTGAAAAAAATTCTAAATATTGTAAGTCAAATCAAGATGGTATACATATTCCCATGTTTACATGTAGGTACAAGAAAAATTTTAGGATTTCAAAATGAAATTTATTGAATGATAAATGAGATTTAGTGGATAGTAGATATAACTGAAAGAAGCTGGCAAAAATCCAGTAAAAGTACAAAGAACAAACTGAGTTAATCTGAAAATGTACATAATTATACCCTAACACACAGTGATGTCATCATTTATCATGTAGCCTCTGGAAATCTCTGTTGTTCACACAAGAGAATGAGAGACAAAAAGGTAAATAAGGGCCAGGGATTGAGCACAGTGGCACTGCACCTGCTGAAAGAAGCTGGCAAAAATCCAGTAAAAGTACAAAGAACAAACTGAGTTAATCTGAAAATGTACATAATTATACCCTAACACACAGTGATGTCATCATTTATCATGTAGCCTCTGGAAATCTCTGTTGTTCACACAAGAGAATGAGAGACAAAAAGGTAAATAAGGGCCAGGGATTGAGCACAGTGGCACTGCACCTGCCTCGCAAGTGCAAGGTCCTGAGTTCGATTCCTGGTACCAAAAAAAAAAAAAAAGGTAAATAAAGTTCTACTATGTTTAAAATAGTTTTTTGTGGGTTTTTTGGTACCTAGGATCGAACTTGGGTCCTTATGCTTGCGAGGCAGGCATGGAACTTCTAAGCTAAATCCCTGGCCCCTAAAATAGTTTTGATTTTGACCTTTACATGTTTACCTGCCTTGAACCACACCTTAAGAACTGATGCTCTAGAACAATACCAACAAAATAGAAAACACACAGGGAAATTAAGTTCTAAATCCAAACATATCACTAATTATATTAAATGCTAATATTTTAAAAGTAGACTATCAAAATGGATTTTTAAAAAATAGTCATCTCTGTATAGTTCTCAGAATGTACTTTATAAAGACAGGTTGAAAATAAAGATGTAAATTAATATGCATTTGGTAAGCATAGAATGATATATTAATATCAAATAAAATAGACTTTCAAAGAGTGTTACCAGATATTAAAAGATACACTTCATCAGGAAGGAAAGAATTCTACCAGATATAAAGAGTTATATTTCATCAAAAAGAAATATTCATAAATAAGTACATGAAACCAATAATGGGGAAAATAGGCAAATTAATAATGATAATTGGAGATTTTAATACCCCATATTTGGCATCTGATAGAACATTAGTATACATGGAAAGTCTCAACTCTGTCAACACCCATGTACTAACCAATGCCTAATAACTGGAAAATGCACAGTCTTTTAGATTGAGCCTGGAAATTGTCATCAGAAACTTATTCACAGTGCACCATAAAACAAGGTTCAATATGTCCAAAAAGACTGGAATCAGAATTTTTTCTGGCCACAATTCAACTAAATATTAATTACATATATATGGATTCTATACATATATGGAAATTATACAACATAATTCTAATTAGCCTATGAAGAAAAGAAATCACAAAGAAAAATTTAATATATCTCAAACTGAAGCCAGACTAAGGAAATATATGTCAGGATTTGTGAAATGCAACTAAACAGTGCTTGAAGGAAAATATAGCTTTACTCTGTTAGAAAAAAAAAGAAAGATATAAAATCAATGACGTACATTTCCTCCTTAGAAACTAGGAAAGGGGGAATAGGGAAAGTATTTTTTTTAAATGAGACCAAATTAAATAGACCTAAGGTAATAAAGATAAAAATAGAAGTCAATAAATAATGGAGAAATTAAACCCAAAAGTTGATTCTTTGACTAGATTGATAGATTTGATCTACAGAAAAATAAAAGAAGAAAAAGGTAGATTGCCAGTGTCATGAATAAATGAGAGGATTACCACTGTAGATCTTAAAAGAAAAATAAGTGGATCTTTATGAACAACTCTACCAGTAAGTTTGACAAGTTAGGTGAAATGAAATTCTTTAAAAAACACAAGGAAGGAGCAGGTAGCTCAGTGGTAGAACAGATGCTTCCCATACTCAAGGCCCTGTATTCAATTTCCAGTTGACATAGAAAGTAATCTGCATAGGAGAAGACTTTATGAACAAATCCTCAGCAGCATGAGAACTTGCACAAAAAATAAGCAAGTGGGATCTCACTGTATTAAAAAGTCTTTGAAGTGCAAGAGAAATCACCAATAGAGCTAAGAGACAACCTACAATGTGGGAAAAAAATTTTACCAGCTACTCCTCAGACAAAGGACTGCTATCTAGAATATATAAAGAACTCAAAAAAAGTCAGACCCCCAAAATACAAAGACCCAATTCAAAAACGGGCATCTGAAATAAAGACATTCCTCAGATGAAGTAAAAGCAGCAAATAAATACATGAAAAAATGTTTCACATAACTGGTCATTTGAGAGATGCAGATGAAAACACAAAGAATGGCTGCTATCAAGAAATCAATAACAAGTGCTGGCGGGGCTGTGGGGAGAAAGAAACCCTTCTCCATTGTTGATGGGAGTGCAGACTGGTACAACCATTGTGGAAATCAGTATGGAGATACCTCAAAGAACTAGGATTAGAGGTTCCCTTTGACCCAGCTATTCCCCTGCTGGGTATCTTTCCAAAAGAATTAAAAGAATCATACCACAGCAATATATGCACACCCATGTTTATAGCAGCACAGTTCATAATAGCTAAAACTTGGAAACAACCCAATTGCCCATCAACTGGAGACTGGATAAAAAATATGTGTTTTTTCTATAAAATGGAGTACTACTCAGCCGTAAAGAATGAGAAACTAGAAGCATTTATAGCTAAATTGATGCACATTGAGGGTTTACTCAAGTGAAATACATAGACACATGAGTAAATACCAAATATTTTCTCTGGCATGAAAAACTAAAAGTGCAAATAAGGTTCAAATGGTATAATTGGGAGTATGAAATTGGAAGAAAATGACTAAAGGGGAAGTGGGAAGGGGAGGTAAAAGAAAAATGTGAAAAAATGGAAACAAAGTCTTTGTACATGGGAAAGAGTGAAGGGAGGGCAGGGGTATGGGAAAGAAAGAACCAAAATATTATGTAAGGGTACAAGATCCCAATGATAAATGTAACTGTTTTGTTTGCTTTAAATGTACCAATAAACTTAATGAAACAAAAAAGTAGATCAGCAGATGAAAGCACATATCCACAAAAAAATGTACCAGAGGGCAAGGGATTTAGCTCAGTGGTTCTGCACTTGCCTGGCAAGCACAAGGTCCCAAGTTGGATCCCCGGTACCCCGCCCCTGCCGCCCAAAAATGTACCAGAACGTTCATAGAAGCTGTCCATCAACAGAATATGGATACACTAATTGTTATATAAACAAACTCATATCAATACAGTGGAATTAGTTTGATTGTCCTGATTTGCCTGGAAGTTTTTTTCCGGAATGTGGGACTTGGAAACACCTGAGCAAGCCAGGAAGACTTGGTCAGCCCTCAGCGATAAGAACGGCCACCGGTACCTCCAGCAATGTGGATAAATCCTACAAACATGCTGGCCGATGAAGCCTACAAGAGTGCATACTCTGTGATCCCACTAACGTGAAGTTCTGGGGCAAGCTGAACTAAATTATCAAAAAAGGAGCCAGGGGTATTTGCATCTAGAGGTTGGCTGATGACAGGAGGGATGTGTGGAAACTTTCCGGGTTGATGGTAGTATTCTGTATTTGGGTAGAGATTTGGCTTATCTGTACTTTGAAAGTATCTGTAGACTATTGAAATCTAGTTACTAATGCTGATACTGCAGTGCTTAGAAGGGTAGTTTAACTATTTATGAATATGGCATTTATTTAAAAGGAATAGTTAGGTATCAGATGGGAGGAGGAAAAAATCATTCCTGAAGGATGGCTTTTTAGTGATTGGTTTGCTTCTACTCATTTTAGGAAGCTTTTCTTCAACTTTTTGATAAGCCTTTCAAGGTTGCTGGGTCCTTATTTTGTTTTAATTTAAAATTTTTTAATTTCATAATTCTTTGCAGAATGAATCTAGTTTTGTTTTCTACATCAGTAGGTTTCTTTGTTTTATGCATGTAGTTTATTACATGTAGTTTTGTTTCAGTAATTGCATTGCTGTTATTCTTTGATCTTTTCTCTTTTTAGAAAAGTACCAATAAGTACAAGTTTATAGTACTTATGAGTTAAGCTGTCTCTCCATATTACAGTATATTTTGTTCTAGTAGTCATTTCTCAAAACAGTGAATATAAACTTCTGTGATTTTAGTAATGCTTACAGCATCATCTTTTTTCTTTAATAATGTAGTACTTTTACAATTAAATCTGATCACAATGAAAGTAATCATTGTGTTTTGCAAACATGTACTAATAAAAAAAATAAATTTGAGGTGGCCAAGGTAGCTTGCACCTGTAATCCCAAATAGTGGCTGAGGAGGGAGATTGCTTGAGCCCAGGAGTTTGAGGCCAACCTAGGAAGTATCAGACCCCATCTAAAAAATAAAACTACCATGTTTCAGGTGAACTTTTAATTAACATATTATTTTGGGAGATTCACAAAAATAAAATTCATATAGCAGAAATTAGCCTTTTTTTCAAATTTAATCTTCCCTGTGTTTTATTTTTTGTCACAGATACTTTTCATTTTTGTAGTAGGTTAGCTCAAGGAAGTTGTTCTCACAGTATCTTTCAAATGGACTCATGCTTCTAATTTCCATTCTTTTTTCTTGTGACAAACCCACCTCTCTGATTAGCATCAATTAAAGCTTCAGATCTTTTGCCAACTTCTCTGTTCATATATTACTTACGGGAATAAGGTAACCCTGGCAGAACAGTCTTCCTCCAGCCACCATTTGGCAGATTGGCAAAGAACTTACACATAATAACTTACGCATATTAAACACAATATGTAATTCTAGGAACAGGAATCGTAAGCCAAGATATTTGAGAGTTTATTTCAACAGATGTCCACTCAGTGCTTTCTAGGAATGCTTTCCAAGATGTGACCATTGTTCTACATGGGTGACCAGCTTGCTGCAACAAATGTGCAGAATAGCGTGATGATTTCTTTTTTTTGTTGTTTTTTAGGGTATGTCTCTGTGCCAAACTGTTGTCGTGGGCTCTGTAGTCATTCTTCTCTACTCTTCCAGAGCTTGCTATAATTTGGTGGTTATCACCATATCTCAGGATACATTAGAAAGTCCATTTAATTATGGCTGGGATAATCTTTCAGATAAGGTAAGTACTTACCAATCTACAATTGCCAATCTACAATTAATACACCTGATAATTCAGTTAACCTTATCTAGAACATTTCAGTGTCTGACTTATACTTTTATGGAATCTCTGCCATCAGTAATCATCCTTTAAGCTCTATTTAAATATCTTCATTTACATGTAATACTTGAAATCACTCTTCCAAGAGAACTTCTCTGAGGGAGTTTTCTTTTTGTAAATAATGGTGTCATAAACCTACTGGACATAAACCTAGTTTACTAAGTTTTAAAAGGTTGGTGTTTAAATATCTCTAGATAAATTAATTGCCTATCATTACCAGTAAATACAAGTATGTCTTTATTAGGACAAAATTACTTCTCTTCTACCCAAGAACCATGTGCAACCTTAATTCTTGGTTTAGTTTTAGAAGTTTAAATATTGACTTTCTTAAAATTCTGGCATTACCAGTTTTAGTAACAGAAGACTCCTAGCTCCTTCGGTGTCTAGGTACTTGTTGTAGTGATTCCTGGTACTCTAGCTATGAGTTTTTCAATTTCCCAGCACTCCCCGTCACCTTCCTAAAGGTACAATTTGACCTAGCCATACATATGTCACAGATTTTCATTAAGTTTGTACTAATGCAAGTCACCCTGGAACACCATTTCCCATTTACCTTTTTATGGGGAAGGAATTTTCATAAGTGTTTTCACATGGCAGATGGTTTTCACTCCTTTTCCCACTTCCTGCTACCTACCTCTGTCAGAATAAAAATGAGTTCTGTATGCAGATTAGGCCCTAGAGCATATGTGATGGACAGCTGGGCCAAGTGACTTACCATGTTCTCTCCATCTGCAGGCCTAACTCAGGGTGAGGGCTGCTGATCCAGGTCAGCAGCTAGAGCCTGCAGCCTCCAGACTACAGGGTCCCAAAATGAGGCTGCTCCTTGTTATCCAAGATTAAAGTTACTTTTCATAAATTGACACGTTAAAAGTTAGCAATTCTTTATCCTACTTGACATCAAAGTGTTTTATGTCCCTTAAAGGAAAAGTATCATTACATGGGAAACCACAAAATACAGAAAATTTTATGCTTGTGGTTGATATCTTAACTTTCCAAACCAGAAACAAGGTAATTGCAGATGGTGAAGCTTGTACATAGAACAGGAGTAAAGAGTTCTGCCTGTCCTCTGTTTACAGGCTCATGTAGAAGACGTAAGTGGAGAAGACTACATAGTATTTGGAATGGTCCTCTTTCTGTGGGAACATGTACCAGCATGGTCAGTGGTACTGTTTTTCCGGGCACAGAGATTAAACCAGAATTTGGTATGATATCATAATATCCCCAATGCTTGTTCTTATTTCTAAACAGTACAGAACATTAATATTCATTTCCTTTTTGTGCAAAGTTTAAAACTAACAATGACTGTAGCCTAGCCTCCTTTCTCTGTTGTAAAGCAAGCCTGCATATACTATCTAATACTGTGTTCACAGGCTCCTGCTGGCATGATAAATAGTCACAGTTACAGCTCCAGAGCTTACTTTTTCGACAATCCAAGACGATACGATAGCGATGACGACTTGCCGAGACTGGGAAGTTCAAGAGAAGGAAGGTAGATGTAACAAAAACCGTGTATCCTGAATTAGTACTGACAGAGATTGAAAGTAACAAATCCAAGCTCTAACCCAACTGTTAAGAAGACGATTTGGTGGTATATGTCAATAAATAAGATCCTAGGACGCTAGAGCTTAAGGCAGTGTGGTGGAACCTCCACCATAGAGCCACTATCTGACTGGAGCCTATATACAGTATTACCTGTAGGTGAGAAATGCCTCTGGGGTGAAATGGCTCCATTTTCCTTCAGGACCCCTTGTTGGTTCAGAGCAGGGGAGGGGCTGGTGTGGATGAGCAGGGAAGGAAAACTATTATACTGGTTGTCTGTACTCGTATCCCTGGTCCGTTCCAAATCCACAAAGAAACCCTAGATAAAGCCCTTGGGAAGCTTGGATGCCTTAGGAAGCCTTCCCAGGCCCTCCCATTCCAAAACCATGAGAAGTGCTTCACTTTGGCACATGATTAGCTGTTTGTCAGGGCAAAGAGGAAACCTAATTGTATCTGTTTGTAATTTTGACTTCCTCTGGACAAACTACTTAACCTGTTTTCCATCTGTGAAGTAGGGATGATAATATCTCTTAGGGTTGCAGTGATGACAAAATGAGACTAGATGTAAAGATACAAATGTAGTTATATATGTTAGAATAAAGCCTTCTACATAAGAAACACCATAACATTTACTGTTACTGTTATAAATTCTACCAGTTCTGAGAGGCATGTATTCTTTGGTAATGTGTGACATAGCTCAGATACTAGGTAAAATTCATTAAACTTCATAGGAAGTCATTATATTACTTAAGAGTATATTTCAATATAGTACTGTATTTGATACTGTTCAAAATTCACTGAAAATGTTGAACATGTCCACGTGACTTCTCATATCCCGGTGACAGTCCTATGTCTTCTTTGCCTTTTTTTTTCTTGCAGTTTACCTAATTCACAAAGTTTGGGCTGGTACGGCACCATGACTGGGTGTGGCAGCAACACATACGCGGTCACTCCCCACCTGAATGGACCGATGGCAGACACTGCTCCTTTGCTCTTTACTTGTAGTAACTTAGATATGAACAATCACCATAGCTTATATGTGACACCACAAAACTGATAGCATTACAAGTCGTGAATCTTGGATAGTTTTTCATGAAATGTGTGTGTTCAATGTGTTTAAATTTCGTCTACATAAACATTGCAAGTGAGAACAAAATCTGGAAAGGTGGCTGTGTTCGGTGGAGAACACAGCTGTTTCTTTTGACCTCTGCATAATTAAGCAAAATGGAAAGTTTGGAGTAAGAGAAAAGGTTAGATCTTAAGACACTTGATTTCCTCCAAACATCCCGACTTTGGAACATCAAATGCATTATTTGCATATTTGCACTTTTATCTTTGTTCTGAAAGAGTACACTGCAGTCCCCAAAGTCATGCTCCAGTGTTCACACTGGAATATTATTGTACACCAAATTGGAAGGCAATTTTTCTACGAAAATCAAAGCCTCTACATTCACTGGTGTACTAGGTCCAGAATCCTTCCCCAGTTAGTTTGAGTGTGAGTAGTGCAGTTAAAGCAAAAAAATGTATCATCTTCCTAAAAATCTACTAAAATGTTATTGAAGACAGTTCTTTGAAGCATGATTTAAAAATACTAACTGAAATTATTCAAACAATGATTTTAAATAAATGATAGTAGTAATCCTTTACAGTGATGAGCAGCAGTGTTCTTTGGAAAGCCACAGTAATTTCCTTCAAGAGGAACATAATAGTGAAAATTGTGTGGCTACTTTGAGTAGAATTGGTCAAGTGATTATTTTGTATGATTAAGATATACAGTACATAGTAGTTTAAGCATGATCCTTCAAGAAAGCAATAGTGATTTTTACATAGGGGGTTTGGTAGATACTTCTTGGGACTAAAGTTTACAGATGCATTTAAAATTTTTCATAAAATGTAACGATTCTAAGTTAAAACAAGAATTCACTTTCAAAAGCATTGGATTTATCTGAAACAAGATATAACTGATCTTACCTATTGAATCAGGATTGTCCTCAGGTAAATTAATTCATGGTACATTATTGTAATAACTAAAGTGCAATACTAAGACATATAATTCCTTCTTTAGTTTTGTTTTATACCTTGTTTTTCAGCAAAATTAAATTAATTCCAGCACTGGATTAAATGAGCAAACTTAAAATGTACAAACTTGGTAAGTATAAAACCAGAGATGACCAATACTGGAATACTTCTAGAAATATATTAAATTGTGTTGAATTTCCTAACCCAAGTCATTCATATGTGTGTCGTTCATAGGCTAAGACAAAACAGAATTTTAAAATGCACTTTCTACCAATATCTGCATGGCAAGTAGGTGCTGAATACCTCAAAATGCCAAGGCAACATCTAAAGTTGTCACAATGTGCTTAAAGTAACTAATCTTATAAAATTCTGATGTTTCCTCAGAATTGGAACTAATACAGTTGTCCTTTTCTGTCTTCTACTTTGGTTAGAAAGTATTTTATTTATATTTTTACTTAAAATATTTTGCAGCTTTTTAATAACTGATGCAGTTACATCACAAAAGTATGAGTAGGTAAAATGAAATAAAAAATTAAATCGCTAATGCTTTCTATCTTTGGGTGGTTGATACAAAGCAAAATAAATTTCTTTTTATGATATGAAAACTTTAAATTCAATCAGAAGTGTACTAATAGTTATGTTACTAGTTTTTTGTTTATAACAAGTTCTCGTAACTGAATTATTTAAAATTTTATAGTACAAGAGTAGTTAACCATGGTATTAACAGTAGTTTTTACTACAATAGTAGTTTCTGTTCATTAGATTTCTTTTAGAACACAACTATTTACTTTGCTGATGTTAGATATCTATCTAGAGATATCTGAAAAAAAGCTCTATTTTTTGTTAACCCTTGGGTTCAAAATGATACTTTTTCTAGTAAAATTTCCCTAGATGAAGTTATTTGTCCAGATAAAAATTACTTCAAAATTTTTTCATATAAAACTTTTAGCTGCATTAGTTGATTGTACTAAATTTGAGATTTGTGAATTTATCCGTGTCAATGACTAGGGTACCTAAATTCTTACATTTGTCTCCTTTATACACATCTCACACAACCGATCACCAAAGAAAATAAAAAACTCTGGCCCAATTTTTGCTTAAAAATTCCAAAGCACTAGGAGCACTTTAAGTTTGGTTGCAAAAGAAGTTGTTTATAAAATTAAAGGGCTACCAGTTCCCTGTTCATCCTGCACTGAAGCACATGATGACAATTCCAAACCTTCCTTTTGTGTTAATTTATAAAGTGGATTTCATTGCTTAAGTGTGTATTTCTACAGTGATTAGCAATATTTGTTTTTATCACTTCAGTTAGGTGACCATTAATTTTGAAACTCTTACCACTCAATATAGCTGGCTGTAGTTTTATGGAAGATGTAATTTATAGCTAAAGTGGGTTTTTATGCATATCTGCCTTTTTATTTAACAGTGTTTCTCAGCTATATAATCAGTTCCCAACTGGTTGTAAAAGTATAGCTGTGGCCAATGAATGTATTTATTTGTTGTTTCACTCAATTGTAACAAGACACTACTGTTAAAAATAAAAGTGTTTGTGCTTTTATTTGGATGTCTGTTTCTCTTAATCTCCCTTAGTGGACTCAGTTACTGAGTTTCTATTACATAAGCTAAGAACTCTGGTGTTAACATAGGAAAAAGAAAAAGATCAAAAGTTACACGTAATAGTTGAATTTTGATGGTCTCATCATTGCTTACACTGGGTCTCACACCAATTTGATAAAGAAATACCTTATACTTTAAAAATATCAATGTTACTAGAACACACATATTTATTCAAGCATTAAGCCAAGAACATCTTTGTATGAGACAGTTTATACCACTACCTTCTTTCCTCTGTAGAATCTCAAACAAGAATGCCTGCATGCAGCCATACCCTGGCCACTCTTACTACTGCAGAAACTGCTCAGTGATGCTGCCTTTTCCATGAAAGCCCCCCCCATAGACTCTTTTCGCTGCCTACTAAAAACCACAACAAAATTTGAATACCACTTCAGCTTTATTGATTCCAAAATCTCCAAATCTTTGCTGTAAAGTGAAGGGAATGAAGGTATGACTTCTAATAAAATAAAAGCAATGTATCCAACAAATATTTATTAAATGTTCATATGTCAAAAGTATGCTACAGAGATACCAAAGTGAATACAGATTTTTTTCCTGCCCTTGAGGAGCTCACATTCTAATAAAAGAGACTTTAAGACACACAAATAATACAGTACAATAAGTGATACAGTAGAGGTAGGTTGTAATTACAGTGGTGACACAAAAGGACGTTAGATTCTCGAATGGAACGGGGCGGGGGGGATTTCAGACATCCTGATGCTGAGCCTGCAAAGATGCATGGGATTTTCTGGGCAGAAAGGATGGCTAGGGCACTTGGTACAGAGTATAGCATTCACAAGGTGTGGCGGGTTGGCTACATGGGGCGTCTGAAGGATCGACCAGAAGTCTGCTTTGTCAGAGCCTTGGCTGGGGAAGACATAGGAGAAGACCTTATACACCAAGCTCAGAACTTTGGCTCCCTCCACGGCTCATGAAGTGACTGAAGGGTGTTAGGCAGAGAGTAAAACTGCCAGAGCGCATCTAGGGAGCCTAACCTGGCGACTGTGAAGCAGTGAGGAGACAGGCTATAGAAAGACAGGTTCAGACTCCTTCCAGTGATGGGTCAGAAAGGCAGAGGTAGTAAAATCAATAGAACTTAGAACTAGGAGGTGAGGAGAGGAATGAAGAGCAGAGAAAACTTAGAAAATAATGGTCCTCAAATTAAAGTAAGGAATGCAGGCATGAGAGCGGGTTGTGGGAGAACAAGACACACACTCTTGACTGTGCAACAAGTGCAGTGCAGTAAGGAGACAGACTGAGAAGTCTGGGCTAAAGAAGAGGCCCCGGGAACCACTGAACTGGAATTACCCAAGGGTGATGGTATACTGAGTATGACAACAACAACCAACAAATCTGAGAAATAGCATTTAAGGAAAAAATAAGCAGCCAAAAATAAGAGGTCTAGGGGGCCAGGGATTTAGCTCAATGGTGGTGCCGCTGTCTGCCTCACAAATGCAAGGTCCTGAGTTCAATCCCAGTTCTACA